CCAGCATCGCAATTGCAAAGGTGATAGTGGGGGGCTCAGATTTTGCAACTGCGTAAACCCCTTTGCATTGGCAAAGGTTGCTAGCTTATGGCTTAGTTCGCATTTGCTAACATTTGTTCACTTTTGCTATGCTGTCTGGTTCGCAATTTCGAAGCCTTTTCTCGCAATTGTGATGATGCATGAGGCTGTCAGGGTTCGCAAATGTGAGCCCTGGTCCACAATTGTGAGTCGCAAATTATGAACCCTGTGTCGCAAATGCGACAACTGCAGCTAGTACAAAGGGCTGGGAGATGGGATTTTTCAAAATATTTCTCTCATTTTTTAACCCTAGACTCGGTAGGAGGCGATTTAGAGAGGGGATTTTTATCTACAACCTTTGGGTAAGTGATTCTAATCTATTTCTATTTATATTCCATCAACATATCTTAGATTTTAACATCAAAATCATGTGAATCAAAGTGAAAAATTGTAAAACCTTGTCAAGTTTTTTGAAAAAATTAGAATTTGAGTTCTGAGAGTCGATTTGGACTCGGATTTTGAAACTAATTACATATATGAACTCGTGGGGTCATGGGTAGTCGGAATCTACCATTGTACCCAGGTTTTGACCGGGTGGGCCCCGGGTTGACTTTTGTTGACTTTTTGGGAAAAGTGTAAAGATCTTAGCTTTATCTATTGTAATTGATTTTTCCTTGCATTGGTTGATGATATTAGGTCGATTTTGGTTGGATTTGAGCCGTGTGGAGGCGAATTTTAGGGGAAAATCTATTTTCGAAAGTTGAATTGGCCTAGTTGAGGTAAGTATCTTGTCTAATTTTGTGTGGGGGAACTACCCCTTAGGAATTGGGATTGATTGTGTCTTTTGTGCTATGTGAAAGTCGTCTACACCAAGTGACGAGTGGGTACACGGGTTGTACATAGTATTTGACCAGTTTAGGCTACTTAGACTACTTCCATGCTTTAATTGAAATGCCATATGATGTTCTAAATTCTCATGGTCAATCTATTCTTATTTGTGTTGGTCTATCCTTACATGCCTTAATTGACTTGTATAACACTTGTTCAACATCCTACTTGATAAATTTCTCTCATGCTTTAGTTGAACTTGTTGCCCCTTTATTTGATACATGTCATCTCTTTCATTGTTGATTATCATTACTTGAAGTCATTGTACGTGTTATCTCTTTCATTGTTAATTATCATTATTTGAATTCATTGTTACTAGTTATCTCTTTCATTGTTATTATTCTCATTTGAAGTCATGTTATTCCTTCCATTGTGAGTTATTTGTATTTAGTTCGTTGTTACATGTTATGTTTCTCATTGTTGAGTTATTGATGTTCAAGTTATGGAAGCCGTATCATTTTGAAGCAAAGTTGATAATTGTTGAGATATCTTTCTTGTTGAGAATTTTGCATTCATTGTGATAGTTGATATTCTTGTACACGTTGTGGTGGAGCCGTGGGCTATTATTGTGGAAATATTGATATTGTTGATTGTTGGCAAGTTGTGATATATGGGTCAAATTTTTATTATAATGTGATATTGACGTGCATGCGGAGATATAAGGCTTAGGGTTAATGTGCAAGCGGCGGTATAAGGTGGGACTAATGTGCGGGTTGCTTGTAGGAGAACAACGTAATGCCACACGGCGTCATAACGTGGGATAAAGTGCGTGTAGCTATTTTTGGAAAACTATTTTCAAAACCTATTTCAAATGTAAGGCTCACGCGGTGGATTAAGGAAAGATTGTGAATTGTGACCACGAGGCAGTACCTCGGTTGTGATTCTTGATATATATATATATATATATATATATATATATATATATATATATATATATATATATATATATATATATATATATATATATATACGAGGAGGTACCTCGGTGGTGATTCTTATTGTACACAAAGTGGTACCTCGTTGTGATTCTTGCTGTTTTGTTCTTCTTTGTTTTTGTCAATTATTGTCCGTATATGATAATTATGGTTCTCTTTAAATGATTTCTTTATGTTATTTGGGTGCTTACAAATTTCGGTATTAGTTCATGTTGTTAACATTGCATATCAGTTATTTCTCCGCTTTACATTATTTATCCTTATTACGTTTTTATACTGTTTATTTATATCCTAGTAGGTGTCTTGACCTAGCCTCGTCACTACTCTACTAAGGTTAGTTATTGGGTACTGTTGTGGTGTACTCATACTAAGCTTCTGCATATCTTTTTGTGCAGATCCACGTACGTATGCTCATGCCGCTCGTTAGTGATCATCCGTTAGCTCCTTTACGGAGACTTCAAGGTATGCCTGCTCGGCGTCCGCAGGCCTTGGAGTCACCTTCCTTTACGTTTACTACTATTGTACTTTTCATTCCGACAGTGATGTAGTAGGCACTCCAGTATGACTCTGTAGAGCTTATGACTCAGTTCCACCGATGTTAGGGAGTGTATTGTTGTTGATTCTGATTTCGGAAGTTTACATCAATTATTCAGCCTTGGTTTAGTATTTTGTTAATTATTTCTGTCAGGGTATTGTTAACTGTTAGGCTTACTTAGTCGTAGAGAATATGTTCCATCACGACATCCTACGGGGGGGAAATTGGGGTCGTGGCATATTAATTCTTTCATGATATGTTGAACATGTGTTTACAACACTGCTTCACGCACTGCTTGTTCACTTCTAAAAATCTACCAATTGTTCATCAATTCAGTCTGCCTTCCTAGCAATTCTTGCATACCAACCAGAATATCAAGAACAAGGATGGTATGGATGGTTCCAACTTCTGAATTAAAAGGTTGTGCTGGCTCAATCTCTGTTTGGTCTCCACTATCAACAAGCATTTGTTCCTATTCAGCTTGGGTTGGACCAGTAGGAGGTCTCAAACTATGGAGAAAGTCGCTACCGATGAAGTAGGAATTTTCAGTCTTTGGTAAACCACTCAAATCCACATCAAATAAAGAAACCAAACGAGTGATAGACGAAGGAAAAAATACGCATTCACAATCAGGCTTGATCCGACAATTAACCATAGCATCGCTAACCAATCTCCCACATTCACAAGAAATTCATGCATAATCGCATATATCAAAAGAACTCTTTCCATATTGTAGCTCGAGGTATTCAAATATGCGATCAAGCGAGAACTAACGAATCTACCCCAAGCTCTTGCTAATTCAATCATACATGAACAGTTAATACTCAAAGTGCGTTTAGTGGTTCCCGAGTAAATTTTAACGCCATTAGGACACAACTCGCCCAACACATATCTTACAAAATCTACTTCCCAATCATCCATAACTTTCTTGGTTTCACTATCATCAATGTTTCTCAAGTTAAAAATTTCATTTATGAATTCAGCATCAAATCGAATGATTTTACCTCTCACTGTTGAAATACGACTTACTGGATTAAGATTGTTGTAGAAGTCCAGAACTATGTCTCGATTGTAATTTCTTGGGCACTAAATAAAAGACCACCAACCATAAACAACAATGATTTGTAAGATTTCTTGTGCCTTTAAACCATCAGAAGGGAAAAGCATCATCTTATATTCTTCAACCATTGTTCGATTTGTTGCTCTAAGTCTCCATGATGTCGGGTCAAAGATTTCCCTTCAAGAGTTATTGGAACTATTTGAAAGAGTTACTTGTGCAAGATTCATTTTTTCTTTTTCAGGTGAAAATCAAGTGTCTAACCAGATGGGTGTATTTGGAAAATTGAATAGAGAAGAAACAAAAGGTTCCAACGATAGTGAATTCATTGAAATAAGAAAAAGAGAAGAAAGAAATTTTTTTTTAATTAGGTGATAGCCATGGCTGAGAAATAACAGAGATGAGTGATGGGTACTGTACAATGGTGGTTGGGGGCTGAAGCAAGAGAAACGAAGGGTTTTTTCACTGTTGGGATTGTTTGTTTCGTTTTGAGAGAGAGATAAATATGAGGTTAAAATAATTTGTCCACCATTTATTTATTTAAAATCTTTACTTTGTAGATTTTTTTTACCAATCCACCTTAACAAGATTGGTTTGTTGTTTTGATAAGTTCCACCTATTAAATTAAATAAAAAAGGGCAAAACGAGAAAAAAGAAGGCGTTAAGAGACCCTCCTGGCCTTTAAAAAAAATGTGATACATTGCAAAGATTTTTATCTCTCTTTTTTTGACTCTTTTTTTTATATAACTATTTAAGAACAACTTAATGAAAGTTACACAAACATACAAGAGTAGAATCTTCTTCTAATTACTTAGTAAATTAACATAATAACCAACATAAAGAATTTTTTTTATTTTCCTTTTCTTTTTGTGACTAATACATACATTAGAATTAGTATACAATATATATATATATATATATTTAAGCAATAAGGATGGTCAAAACCTGTTTGTCAAATATTCCGATGACATAAGGCTTCAAACGATGACCATTTACTTTGAATTTGTTTTCCCCATTTATATATTGTATCTCAATGGCACTATAAGGGGTTACTTCAGTTATGACGTACGGTCCTGTCTAGCTGTTGACATGTGATTTTTGACCCTCCCCTAAATTTTACCCATTTTAGCATGTAAATATTTAGTTTAGGCCTAATATCGCCATTTCAACTAATTTTTATTATTTTACTTTATTTTATTACAAGAAATTGAAAAATTACAAAAAAAAATAGGTTTATTAATATTTTATAGTCATTTTTAATCTTAAAAAAAAATTACCAAAATAGCACCCTATCTTTATTTTTATAATCTTGAAAACACAAAAAAAGTAGTTTTATGTTTTATAGTTTAGTTCAATTAATTAAAATTAGTTTATATTTTTATATTATAATTGTACATAATTTTAGAAAAAAGAATTAGTTTTAGGTTGGTTTATCCCGTTTTTATAAATCTTATAGTCTATTTTTAGTCTTTGGCCCAAAATACCTAGCCCATAGTTCCTAGGCCCATACCCCTAACCTAATCCGTACCCTATATAATATTACCTATACCACAAACACAAGAGACCGAAAAACACTCTAAAAAACCCAATCAGCCGCTCAACACCCAAAAGGACCCCCTCCCCTTCCTAGAATTTCATCTTCCTCTTCAAAAACACCTGTGAATCTCAGCTTCAAACCAGTCCAAAAATGCAGCCATGAATAACCCGTAAGCCTCATCGTTCAGCCACAAATACCAATCCCAAATAGCCCAAAACCGACCAAATAGCTACTCCAAAATCCAGCTCTGTCCTACCCAATAGAGCAACAAAACCTTCCTCAAAAAATTAATTGAAAGCTGTTCAAAAATGCACTAACAACAGACCCGAAAACAGCTCCAAACCAGTGCGAAAAGTAGCTTGAAAGCACCATCCAAACCCAGTAGAAATGAGTCTGTTCGAAGATGCCAGTCTCGTTTTCTAGTCCGTAGCTTGCGTGAGGATTGATGTTCTATAGTTTTTATTTTCATTGTATCCGCTCTAAAATTTCAGCAGTAAAAGGTCCGTTCCTTCATCTCTTCCCTATTATTTGACCATGTGTCTCTGTAGCTGCTTGCACAAATGAATAGATCGGCATGAAGTTCAGTGTGTTTTCATTGATTTTTGGATCATTTAATCTGATTTTTTTTTATTCTTATTTCAACATTGATGAACATTAAACCATATGGATTTTGGGGTAATCGACGTTATATTGGAATTGAGCAATTGATTTTAGATCTAGATTGGTTGCGCAAGTGTGAGCACAAAAACTAAAGGGATTGGATTATTCGATAGCGTTGTATTTTCTTTCTTATTTTGTGTTTAAGTTATGTTATTTTTTGTTTGATTTGTTCTTCTGGTTGGTCCTGCTCAATAAAGTGTGGATAGCTACTATTAATGGAGTGTTGAGTATAAATCAACAATTGGAAAGAGTAATTGAATCATTATATCATTAGTTAAGCTTGAACTGAAAGACCATGGGATTAACGTGGTGAGGGAACTAGCAAAATGGGTAGGCTTAGACATGTGTTAACGTTTTTGCAGATTAGTTTAATTATTTTATTATTATTCCTTTCCATGCCTCACTTAGTATAATTTTAGTTGTTCGTTTATTTAAATCTTTTGAATAGTCTGAATGCTTGTTTAATGGAATTGTTCGATTTTATTTTTGTTCGTTGTCGTTCAATCACGACTTATGTGCTTCTTCATGTGAATCGAGTCGTCGGGGTTGGACATCAGGAATGGAAAAATTAATTTTACCATGTAGTTTGCTTTGGTTGAGTACGATCCTTTGAAATTAGAATCGCGTTGTGCTATTAGTTGAATTTTCCATGGCCCTCACATAATTAAAAATACTTAGAAATCGGGACGTGCCATTTAGCGAATTTTCATGGCCTCCCGCAATGATATCAACACGCTAGTTACTTTAGGCGCGCTTTTAATAATCTACCTTCCTAAACTGGGTGCGCATTTATGTGACCCAAATCCAAATCTCAGCGGTGTTAAAATATGTCAAAAATCACGGGTGCATTTATGTGACGTGGTTCGAGACGTGTTTTAATAACGTTGCAAAATTCCTTAAAAATTAATTTAAAGCGGTAAATAACTTAAAATTGCACTATAGATTGAAACATGTATTAAAAACAGGTAATAGACCAATTATGATAGTTTAAGCGACCGTGCTAAAACCACGGAATTCGGGGGTGCCTAACACCTTCCCTCGGGTTAATAGAATTCCTTACTCAAGAATTTCTGGTCCGCAGACTTCACTTGGAAAGTCGAAAATTTTCTCGATTTGGGATTCAAGTTAAACCGGTGACTTGGGACACCAAAAGCCAATCCTATCCCAAGTGGCGACTCTAAAAACAAATAAATAATCCCATTTCGAATAATGTCACTTTAAATGGAAAAACTCCCTTATACATTATCCTTCGGGGTAGGTGTGTAAAAAAGGAGGTGTGACACTAGCGTGACTTGAACTTTCCGGGAAATAATCTCAACCGACTATTATATAACAGAACACTGTCTCCAACATTAAAGTTTTTATGGCGAATGAACTTTTCATGATATTTTTGTCTTTTCTTTGTACAGTTTAGCATTTTCATATGCTGTAAATCTGAACACTTCCAACTCATCAAGCTGTAAGAGGCGATTTTTTCCTGCATCTGGCAAGTTTGAATTTAATAATTTTATAGCCCAATATACTTTATGTTCTACTCTACAGGTAAATGATAAGATTTTTCAAAAACTAGTGTATAAGGAGATGTGCATATTGGAGTTTTAAAAGCAATTCTGTAAGCCCACGAAGCGTCATCTAATTTTAGAGACCAACCTTTTCGTGAAGAGCCAACAGTTTTTTCTAAAATTCTTTTTGATTCTCTGCTGGATACTTCTACTTGTCCACTTGTTTGAGCATGATATGGAGTTCCTGTTTTATGAGTAACTCCATATCTTGACAACAAACTAGCAAATTGTCTATTTATAAAATGAGTTCCTTGATCACTTATGATAACTCGTGGAGTTTCAAATCTAGAGAAGATATTTTTCTTGAGGAAATCGCAAACAACTCGAGCATCATTTTTTTAGTAGCAATTGCTTCTACTCATTTTGAGGGGTAATCAACAGATACTAAAATATATTCGCAACCATTTGAAGGAGGAAAATGACTCATGAAGTCAATGCCCCAAACATCAAATATTTTACACACAACAATAGAGTTAAGAGGCATCTCATCCCTTTTTGAAATGCTACCAGTTCTTTGACATTTGTCACAAGCGGCAACAAAATTTCTTGCATCATTGAACAAAGTAGGCCTGAAAAAAACAACTTCAAGTACTTTAGCTGCCATCCTTCTTCCTTCGTAGTGTCCTCCTATAGCTCCATCATGGCAATAACTTAAAATGTTGTTAATTTCTGTCTTAGGTACGCATCTCTTGATTATGTCATCTACACAAAATTTAAACAAATAAGGATTTTTCCAGTAATAATGTCTTGCCTCTTTTTTAAGCTTTTTTCTGATCGTAAGAAAAATCTATTGGAATCCACCCTCCCGCTAAATAATTGACAATATCAGCAAATCAAGGAGGTCTATTTACAACCATCGCGACTGAAAAGATATGCTCGTCAGAAAATTCCTCTTGGATATCTAGTATTTCAGTAGGAGAATTCTCTAAATGTGACAAATGATCAGCTACCTGATTTTTGAACCTTTTCAATCTTTTATTTCGAGATAAATTATTGCAAAAGGAGTATCCATCTTAGAAATCTAGGTCTAGCGTCTTTCTTTGCTAATAGATACTTTAAGGATGCATGATCGGCGACTATAACCTTTGTTCCTATCAAATAGTTATCAAATAAGAACATTGTAAGCATACGTACCTTGGGGCACGTGAATGTGGTTTTCTCCTGATCTTCTGGAGCAATTGGTATCTGATTATAACCAGAATATCCATCAAGAAAATAATAAAAATCATGGCCTGCAACTGTTTCAAGCATTTGGTTAATAAAAGGCAAAGAAAAATGATATTTCCTCGTGGCATCATTAAGTCGTCTATAATCAATACAGACTCTTCATCTTGTGACTATTCTAGTAGGTATGAGTTCATTATTTTTATTTTTTATTACAGTCATACCTCCTTTCTTTGATACAACCTGCACAGGACATACCCAAGGGCTGTTAGATATTGGATACATAATACTAGCTGCTAAAAGTTTCACCACTTCTTTCTCGACAACTTGTATTGTTGGATTCAGTCTCCTTTGGGGTTGGACTATTGGTTAGTAATTTTCTTTCATGAGGATCCTACGCATACAAATAGCTAGACTGATTCCTTTGACGTCAGCTATAGTCCATCCTAAAGCTCTTTTACGTTTCCTCAAGACTTCTATCAGTTTGTATTCTTATTCTGTAGTCAAAGAAGATGAAATGATTACTGAAAATAATTCAGGTTCAAGAAAAATATATTTCAAATGAGAAGGAAGATTTGTGAGTTCAATTTTTGATTTAACTTCTTTTTATGAGACTTTCTCATTTTCTTATTCTTTTTCCAATGTTTCGGCTTCTTCTCTGATTGTGGGATTTCCATCACTTGTGGTACCTAACCTGACCAAGCATCTCTCCAATGAATCAGTAATCATTTGATTATCCTTGAATTCATCTACAAGGTCATTAGTAAGTCAATTTGAAAGCAATACGATGATGACTCATTCCCAGGAAATTTTATCATTTTCTGCATGTCAAAATCACTCTCTCCTCATCAACTCGCAATACTAATTGTCCTTGATGACATCAACGATCGCTCTTCCTGTTGAGAGAAATGGTCTACCTAAAATTAATGGTACCTCAGTATTTTCTTCCATTTCAAGTACCATAAAATCTACTGGGAATGTAAATTTATCTACTCTAACAAGGACATTTTCAATTATTCCTTTGGGTCTTTTAGTACTTTGATCAGCTAATTGAAGAGACACACCAGTATCTTTCATTTCACCAAATTTTAATTTTCTGAAAATTGAAAAAGGCATTAGATATATTGAAGCAGCTGAATCACATAATGCATTTTCAAAGTGAGCACCTCCCACAGTACAAGGAGCTGTAAAACTTCTTGGATCACCAAGTTTCTGTGGAAGCTTATTTTGAAGTATAGCACTACATTTCTCTTTAAGCTTAACCACTGAAACTTCTTTTAATTTTCTTTTACTTGCATTTGTGTCAAAGCTTCTATGAAAGGTATGTTAATGTAAATTTGCTTTAAATATCCAGAAACTTTGAAAACGGTTTGTCAAGATTTTCTCTTTTCATTTTTTCGGTAAAATGGAGGGGTACAAAGTAAGGATTTTTCATCAATTCATTTTCTTGTACCTTTCTTCCTTTATCTTTTTGTTCTTTTAGAAGTTTAGAGTCTCTTTTATTCTCACCTTCATTTACCTGTTTCACTTGTTGTGGCTTTCCTTGTCTATCTGTATATGGATCATTAAGCATTTTACCTGACCATAGAGAGATGGCTTTGAGGTGTTCCTTTAGATTTTTCTCGGTGTTGCTTGGTAGAGCACCTTTTATTTGTCCACACATGTGGGTTGCTAATTGGCTCATCTGGATTTCTTAATTCTTGATGCATGAACTTTGACTTTCAACCTTCTCGTCAGTAGCCTTAATGAATTTGTACATCATGTCTTCAAGGTTTTGCTGATGAGCTCTTTTGGACGGTTGTTGATATTTCTGAAAATCTTGTTGCCCTCTGTCTTAATTTTGAAAACCATGTATTCCCTACACCTGCTGCTTTTTATTAAAAAATCTTTGAAGATTTTCAGCACCATTTGGGTTACTCCAATTGAAATCCCAGATGTTTTTGTGTCATGGGACTACTGAATGGATAACTTGTTCTATAGCCAATAATATTTACTTGTTCTTCATTTTGCGTTGAATCTTGGTACTCATGATTGGGATGATTACCTCCACAAACATCACAATTCTCATGTTGAGATGATGATTGAGTATTTACATGAAAGACTTCAACTTTTTGTGTCAGATTCGCAATTTGTCGCTAATGAATTCCAAGCTTCAACTTGATTGACTCCTACTTTTATTAACAATCATTCTGTAAGAGGGCTATTGAACAATATTTTCTGAAATTTTATTGAGCAATTGCATGGCTTCTATAGTGGTTTTGCTCATTATGGATCCTCATGATGTTGCATCAATAATATTTCTAGCAGAGGGTTTAAGACCATAATATAAAATATAAAAAATGTGAGGATATTGGGTACCATGATGTGGGCATTTTTTAGTATTGCTTTTAATCGTTCCCATGCTTGGTATACATATTCAATATCTGTTTGCACGAAATTATTGATTTCTTGCTTCATTTTAAATATTTTTACAGGTGAAAAATATTTAATAAGAAATTTCTGAGTCATTTGGTCTCATGTAGTGATTGAACCTCTTGGCAGACTTCGCAACCATATTTTGGCTTCACCTTTTAATGAAAAAGGGGAAAGTCGTAACCTGATAGTGTCTATTGTGACTCCATTATACTTGCAAGTTTTAACTAATTCAAGAAATCAATTAGATGGCTGTGAGGATCTTCACTCACATCACCAGTAAATTGACATGACTGCTGAATAGTTTGAATCAAGCATGTGGAAATTTCAAAGTTATTTGCTGCAATTGGTGGTCTCCTTACACTTGATTCTCCTTCAGAATAATTTGGCCTTGCATAATCTCTTAGCATTCTATCAGGTCGTGGTGCCACTTCATCAAAATGTTCTTCTACTTGATGTGGCAGGAGTTGGTTGTTATTGTTGTTAAGTTCTACGTTATCCATTTCTTCTTGTGAAGAAATTTGAGATCGTGAAACATGTTCCTTTTGCAACAACCGCAAGGACTTTTCAATTTCAGGATCGTATTCAACTAGTTCTCTTGAGGAGGAACGGGTCATACCCACCCTAAAATTTTTTAAAAAAGTCAAATTAATTAGACAATAAAAATATCTCAAATTAGTAGTAAAATAATTAATCTGTAGTAGATTTTGCCAATCCCCGGCAACGACACCAAAAATTTGACGAGTGTCTAGCGTATATATAATTTTGACTCGTACTCTGTCAAATAATAATATAAAAATATGTCGAACCCACAGAGATTGATTAATTTATTCTACAGATATTTCTTGTTTTAGTTACTATTTAAGAAAAACAGAAAGATTTGAGTTGTGAGTTAACTAACAAAATATGAGTAAATAAAGCAATGGAGAAATATTTTTGTGTTTCACAAATATAAAAAGATGTTGGGATCCTAACTTCACTTAATATTTTTATTATATAGTAGATATATTTTTTCTTTAATTTTTATTTCTCACAAATGTATTAATGCCTCTCATGATTACACTTGTATATTATTACTTAAATTGAATAATTAGTTGCACTCCTTCGATTATACAAATTAATTATTAGAATAGTAATATTAATGTCACGACCCAGAATCCCAACGTCGGGGTCATGATGGCGCCTAACATTTACTTGCTAGGAAAGCCGACATGAACCGGAAATTAACTGATTTTAACAATTTGTGACAATATATTAACAATGAAAACTATTTAAGTCTGAAGTATAGTATAATAATACCGAACAACGAGTCTACACATAACCCAGAAACTGGTGTCACGAGCACATGAATATCTACAGTGCTACAGACATAGTCTGAATAAAATACGCTATTTTGAAACATACAAAAAGACATTAAAGATATTAGGGAAGGGGACTTCAGGGTTGCGGACGCCGTGCAACTATACCTCAAGTCTCCATCAGCGACTAAATCCGAGCAAAAACTACTGAACGCCGCTAGGACCCACTCCGGTATCTGCACAAGAAATGCAGAGTGTAGTATGAGTACAACCGACCTCATGTACTCTGTAAGTGTGGAGCCTAGCCTCGACGAAGTAGTGACGAGGCTAAGCGGCTACTTACAATAACATGTATGCAATAATAATAATAATAATAATACTACTACTACTACTACTACTACTACTACTACTACTACTACTACTACTACTACTAATAATAATAATAATAATAATAATAATAATAATAATAATAATAACAGGAAAGCAAAAGCAGGAAATGAAAGTAAAGCAATTAATTTATGGAAATGAACTCGAACCTCACTATTAGAAAATCCAGAATATCAAGTCTCGTAATCTCATGAAAAAATGTTCAACCAACACAACAACAACAACAACAAGTACAACATTTTAAAGTGAGAACGCACATCATTTTACCATGATTAAGTAATAAATGAGTATATAAAAGACACATACCTTGCTTTTATCGGTATAGTATATATTGTTCGAATAATTATTACCTATTACGGGATAATATTTTAGAACACAAATAAAGATGCATAAAATACCAAGTGATCACTAAGTGGGAGGCTTGGACCATTTTTTTTCTTTTTTCTTTTAAACGAGAGAACTATATTGAAATATTATGAACCCAAAATATTAAGATTTTGAGAATGTATACAACCGAATTCAAATTAACTTGGGATGGATTGTTGTAATTGTTGTTTGACGGGTTTAGGAATGCATTCAAATATTTGTCACATAAATCATACTTTACAACAATAACAAAAACTTTAGGGTCAAATCTGCAATTTCGACATCCTATTGGACTATAAGGAGTCTTTAATAAGACCCCTCATATACACGAGTTCAAAACTTGTAAACAAAGAACTCAAAACCCTAGTAGCTTCGCACAAAATCCCTCGGCTCTTCAAAGTTTCTCTGTTCTGTACTTTTCTTCCTTGCTGAAGAATCAGTCGTTGAGGTACACTATTGAACTTTTGTTTCTTTTTCTCTTACTTTGCCTATTTAGTGCGTGTTTTTTTTTTTGAAATTGTTGTCTTTCTATCGCTACAATATGCTCCAAGAAATACAAAATCCATATTGCATTATGTAATTGATTTGGGATTCGTGTCCCCCATCTTTTACTTAAGACATACCACAATAATTCAAAAATTAAAATAAAAAGCTTTGTTAATTTTGAGAATTTGTTATTTTCCAGAACTAAAGGGTTAATTGCTCATGTTTTACTCCTTTTTGTTTTGTTTTTTTCCCGGGAGCTGATTGTATTGAAGGAAATTGACCAATCTTAGGGAAAGAATCAATTTTTGTACTAAATTTCTGATCTTGGAGCTTGGCAATTCAAAAAGTACTAACTTTGATCCCGAAGAATCAATTTTTGTACTAAATTTCTGATCTTGGAGCTTGACAATTCGAAAAGTACTAACTTTGATCCCGCTTTGTAATGCTAGCAAGTTGTCTCAGTTAAAAGAAGCAATTTTTTTTTTCAATTTGATGAAAAGCCTTGGTTAAAGGTATTAGATTTGTGATTCATGGGAAACAACAAACTTAACTTAAAGGGACATGAGTTGAGAAAACCCCACAATCAATTATGAAGACATTTATCTATGGAACTGCCAATGATCTTCAGTTAAGTTTAAAGTCTTTCCGGGGGATCCGGAGGATTATCATTTGATTTACACTAGAAAAGTTTGTGCTCTGGTTTTAGGTGGATGTATTCACATAAAGTATGTCCTGGAATATTTTAGACTAGTTTGAGTCTAACTAGACCTAAGGTTGGGATCTCATGAAATGCCTTTCCTGTGGTTCATCTGTCTTGAATGTTGATTTTCAATGGTTATCAACCCGAAAAGTCAAAACGTGGTGACTGTACGTCTTTGTATTGTGCGTTGTCCACCTCCAAGATAGGGTATGCCTTTAGGTGTCAATTTAAGCCATCTTTGAGCTATTCATTAGAAGATAATATCTATTTGTTGTCTTCTCGTTAACTTTAGTTTGTAAAAGTCGTTCGAGGTCTGGAGCACATATATATAAAGAGCTCTTCCATTTCTTTTAACGAGTGGTGGAATTCATTTAGAGTTTGCACAAAAAAAAAAGAGAGGCTCTTTCTATACCTCATGATCTACTAGAGTAGTTGTAAAGTTCCTTGGGAATCTTTTAAAGCCCAGTTAGATTTATTTAATGCTTCCTTCTTAAGTCGTTTAGTGTGCTCTAGATTGCCTCTTAGAGAGATGTATATTGAAAAATGCAAGCTCGTGCAAGTTTGATCCTTTGCTATGGTATTTGTAGTTGGTTCATATATAATATGCCTTGGATCTGAAAATCTTAGAACCCAAAAGAGTCCAGAATTTTCTGATGCGCATGAGGGACTTCGCGCTGTGATGGCTGAGCTTGCAGGGGTCTCCGCTAATGATGCTACAGGAAAAACTCGTAGAGCCCAGGGTTTTGATCCCTTCCTGCGAAAGTTAAACAACTCTGCATGTATTGTGGAGAATGGTGGATAGGCCTTCCAAGGATGTAGCAGTAAATCGGTTTTATGGTCTATTACTGAATGGAATATTCAGCACACCCTGCATGCAAATTTGTTTTAACTTTTGAGGGTGGACTTGAACTCCGAAATGCGCGACATCTTCCTGAATCTGATCCCACCCAGTTGAAAAGGATGTCTTTTCCGGTAATGGGCTAGAAGCCGATTTATTCACTCGATGACGGGCCTATCAAACAACGTTTGAAATACAATCATCTTAAAAGTTGAATTAGGGCGCCTAGAAATTGCAAAATCAATTGTAGTTGGAGAGTCAGAAAACCATTTGAATGTTGCAATCAGATTTCAGTTTTGAGTCCTTTTCTATATCAGAAAATGTGACTTTCCCTTTAAAATGCTTCTAGGGGAAAAAATCTGGTGGTAGGTGGTGGCTACATTCTGATACTTCAATTTTCTTTGCCAATGCATACACTGTTAACTCTCTTGTGTCAAATGATATTGTAACTTACTCGGACGGTAGTGTTTTATACTGGTTTTGTAAGTTGTATCCTGATAATTTACTGCTTTTGAGATTCTACAGAGTACGGAATTGAAAATGAGTGGAACAGGAGAGAAAGGATCAGCAACCACCAAGACTCCAGCAGATTTTCTCAAATCTATTCGTGGACGACCTGTTGTTGTTAAATTGAACTCAGGTGTTGACTATCGAGGTTAGTCACTCTGGTTCCTTTTGTTTCTTATATTCTTTTGAACTTACTTCAACAACATGACTAAACCATATTATCACGTATACTAGTAACAAATGTAGCAGTAGTTGACCTTTTCTCGCCTCAGGATTTGTATTTGGACCTCTAATAATTAGTAGCAAGAGTAGATGAAATGTTCCTTGAGATACTAAAGCTTTGACACAGCATTAAGGTTCTAGTAGAGTGAAAAATGTTTGAGTATTCTCACATTACAGATGTGTATTTTCTTATCATCACATTTCAAATATTTGGTAGTCCCTGTTATGTAAGATGACCACCATTTGCCTTTTCAAACAAACAATGACAACCGTTTGCATTGACTATTAATGGTCTATAGATCAAACTAGCGGGCATCCCAATTTACCTGTGTAATAAATATCTAAACCGATGGATTGTAAAATAAGTGTTGCTCTGTAATAAAATTGTACTAATACTTTATGAAAAATTGATCTTGGTGGTAGGCATCTGTTACTTGCATTCTGGGAGAGAAACTAAGCTTTTTTCCCTGAAGTTAATAATCATTTGATGCAATTAACATACTGAACATTCATTCTGAGATTTAACCATATGCGAAAGTTGGAAATACTGTATTCAAAGTTTATGTGCACTGTGTAACTGTTTAGTATACTTTATTGTCCTCTAGATCTCCTGTATGAATGATTGGTTTTATTAGTTGTTTTATATATTTGCCAATAGGTTCCTGAATAATATGTTATGTGGAGAGAAACCTTTATATGAATTTGACTTCACTGTCCTTTCTTGGTGCTTATGAATGCTTCATTGCATTGTTATTTGGTTTTTCTCTCCTTCTCTGCAATATATTCTTGGTGTAGAGTATCTTAGAAAGGGAAATTTTCAGCTACAATCCTTCTGAGCCATCACATTCATGGATTCAGCTCCTCTAGTGAGCATCTCCTGCTCGTCCCGTTCCACTTTAATTTTTTTTACACATTTACCTTTAACAATTCATTGGATTTGATTTATTTTACTAATTAGTATACTTTAGTCACAGTTAAAAGATAATCTTTCCTATCATTCCGCCAATGACTTATACTATATTTTGGCGGAAAGATTATGTTTTAACTATGGTTAAACTGTATTGATTAGTAAGATAAATCAGATTGTTGAATTGTTAAAGGATCACATGTCAAAATTTTAAACTAGAACTGGATGAACAGGAGAGGCTGTTCACTGGAGACAATATGACACATCAAAATGGGTCGCTAATTAAGTTTTATGGTTACGGCATCAGTGAAAAAATCATAACACATGACCCAAATGGAGACTGACGTTTGTAGAATAGTTTAATGAGAGTCAACCGTAAAGTTGTGTACCAGTACTAATTTTGAGCTAGTATATGAAAATTAACCCACCATGCCTGCTACCAACTGTGGTGTTCATAAAACATGGTGGAGGTCCCTTTGTTTATGGAAAGAGACTAGACAATATTAATAGCCCGTTTGGCCAAGCTTCTAAAATCAGCTTATTTTGCGAAGTGCTTTTCTCAAAAGTACTTTTTAAAAAGTGCTTTTGGTGAGAAGCAGTTTGTGTTTGGCTAATTAATTTGAAAAGCACTTTTGAGCAGTAATTAGTGTTTGGCCAAGCTTTTGAAAACTGCTTCTAAGTGTATTTTTCTTAAAAGTGCTTCTCAGAACAGTGCTTTTGGAGAGAAGCTACTTTTTTCTGCTTTTCCAAAACTGCTTCTGCTTCTCCTCAAAAGTACTTTTTTTCCTTCCAAAAGCTTGGCCAAACACCTCAATTTTTGGCCAAAAGTGCTTTTGGCCAAAAAAGCACTTTTGGCCCAAAAAAAAGCTTGGCCAAACAGGCTATAAGTTTCCTGAGGGAGAAGGATGATTTGTAGACCGAGGGGAAGAATGCTCTAACTGACTGAGCTACATCAGTTCTATCATGGTAGATTTGGAAGAAAAAGGATATAATTTCGAGTCTGAAATTGAATGGGAGAGAGGGAATGTGAAAGACTGTTGACCATGGTTATGATGTTTGAGTTAATACAATAAATCCATTGAATTTCATATGGGATATGTGTCAAAAAACTTTAGTATAGAATTGGAGGAACTCAAGACGATACTAACGGGCTATGTTGCTCCGACTCTCCAAAAATGTTGCTGCATCCGTGTCGGATCCTTCAAAAATGCACTATTTTTGGAGGATCTGACACGCACCTGATGGCATTCTTGAAGAGACCGAGCAACATAGCTAACGGTTGAGGAGCCAAGTCTTACATTACATACACCACATGCTGCATGTATGCTGCAAGGCTTATCCACATTCATTTATATATGCCACTACTTTAATATCTGCACTTGATGACTCCAAACAACAAAAATAATGACTACGCATCAATCTCAAAGCAAGTTTGGGTTGGGTATATGAATCCTCACTGACAATGTCACTCTATTTAAGCTCATCGTAGATCAATATTATACGAAATAAAATGCACTAGAAGTTCTCTAATTCATCATTAACACTGACTAGCTTTACGATGGCTGTCAGCCTACCACAAACTACCTCCTTTGTTCGGGCTTGGGACTGGCAATATGAGCAAGCTCATACAAGCGGTGTTAACTTTTTCTTTCAACCTGCATAGTTACATGGTAAGGCGGAAGCTTTATTAGGGTGAGGTCTTCACATGCAATCTAGCTAAAAACCTGACTGCTGGCCTAAGTTAAATATCATTGCAAATTGCTGAAGATCTTTAGCTGGTAATGTTCATTTTTCAATATGTTGGAGGAAAACTCTAACTCAAGTAAATGCTAATTGTTATTGTATGGTGTAGGTATCCTAGCCTGCTTAGATGGATACATGAATATAGCAATGGAACAAACAGAAGAATATGTAAACGGGCAATTGAAGAACAAATATGGTGATGCCTTCATACGGGGAAATAATGGTAAGTAAAAAACTCGTTATCTAACTCTGCACTAGTTTACCTATGCCTCTAATGGTCCGAAGGTAATATTGAGAGTTTTTCTGCATGCAGTGCTTTACATCAGCACATCCAAGAGGACGCTGGGAGAGGGAGCTTAGCATCGTGCATACGAGTGATTGGTCCTAATTATCCTGGCAGTTTTAATTATGTAATCGGCTTTTCACAACTTGTTTGTGAATTTTCCTCTGAATGTTGTAATTTGTGTAGGTTTTGGTAGACCATCGATGTTATCTTGATTGCTGTTTCTTTACTGAGTCAATGTCATTTTTCCCATTGCCAAGATGAAGAAATAGCAACCTTTCATGGTGGATCTGTATTTGGGTTAACAGTTCCATTCTGACTTTATTTGGATAAAAGATGCATATATAATTTACTTGCCTTTGATTCACCTAATCTACAAATTTGCGATATTGGTTTAGTGTAGCCTTATTATAAAAATGCCATTTGTCAGTCTTCAGCACCCCGCTTCTTCTTTGGGTTATTAAGCGCAGAAATCGTTTCTGTGCATCTGGTGTTTAATGGATACTTAACATGTGTGTTCGCCTACTGTAAAATTTTACTGCACTCGGTGTTTATACTAAATCAATGGATGCATAATATGCAGTTTTCATATGCACATTTGTCACTTAATTATAGTTAATGATATGAAATCAATGGATGCATAATATGCAGCTTTCATATGCACATTTGTCACTTAATTATAGTTAATGATATGTAATCTCACTTTAGCTTTAAACAACTTCGGATAAATTGCTTAGTTTGGTGTAATTACGTGGGTAAGTATTTACTACTGTTATCACTAAATGAGAGTTAATTAATATATTTTCACTTCAAATATTACTTAATTATGGCGTATTCTGATATTAATGTCAATTGAAATTCTTGTTAGGTCTACAAAATTTAAAGGTAAAAAAATAGCACGGACTAGCCAATTTTCGGACTGGTTATTCAAAAATAGCTAGCGTTTGCAAAGTCATTGAAAAATAGCCACTATTTTGCTACATCACGAAAAATTCCAGCATAATATACTGGAGATCGGTGCACCTATGTATGAACTTTCCGCATATTATGCTGGAACTCCAACAGGCGAAAAATTCCAGCATAATATACTGGAGATTGGAGCACCTGTGTATCAACTTCCAACATATTATGCTGGAACGGTAATATACTGGAGTTCCAGTATACTTAATTATACTGGAGTTCCAGTATATTATACTGGAATTTTAGTATTTTATACTGGAGTATTATCCGGATTTTGAACAGTGTTTTCGTTCAGATTTATCTTTACATAAAAAGTGACTAAATTTCGATTACTTTTGAAACTGTGATTATCTTTGAATGACCACTTGTAAATTTGACTTTTTGAATTTCTCCCAATTTAAAGATCATTCAGCGTATTGGAACCTGCGTCTGCTTCTCTATCCTGAAATATATCGATGGCACTCCATCTTTACAAATTGGAGTATCAAACGATACGTAAAACTTGGGATCTATTGAGAACTTATACTGCAAGATATTATATTCTTTCTTATTAGATTTATAAAGTATGAAAATGGTTTTCCTTGCATAAAAGGCAAGTATTTACATTATTTTATCCCTTGAGTTTATGATTGTAGGTAGGGGTGTACAATTTGAACCGGAAAACCGTACCAAATAGAAAAGTCAAATCAAACCGACTAAAAAACCCGACTAGGTTTGGTATTGAGTAAAAAAACCGAACCAAACTGACATATAAATATATAATTTTTATATATACTTTTAAGATTTTATATAGAGTTTTCTTTAAAAATTGTCTAGAAATATTTGGGATTATCTTGCAGGATATAATATTTAATAGTATATGAAGTGCTCCATATTTATTAACCTTAAATAATGGGTTGTATGATCACTTTCTCATCAAGTGTTACGGAAATGCGTCAATCTCTTTGTTCTTCCATATTCGTATCATATGTTAAGATCTACTAAATTGTTATGTCTTTTTCGAATGTAAAGTGATTATTATTATTATTATTTAGGTATCATATTGATTTTTATGTTTAATTACTAAATTCGGTTAACCTTGAAAGTGCACATCAACGAAACATTATTGTCAGACGACTAAAAAAAATAACTAATATATGTTACTAAGAAAATTCTCTCATAAGAATATTGTAATAGATAATGTTTGTCAATTTTTTATATTTTTACTAAACATATATTTACTTATAAAAAATTTAACAAAGTAAGATTAAAATAATATTTAAGTAACAAAAAACCCGAAATATCCGACAAAACCGAACCAATCCAAACCGATATAGTTGGTTTGGTTCGATTTTGATGAAAACCGAACCAACGCGGTCCATGTACAACCCTAATTTTAGGTTGTGTGACCAAAAATACACAATTCTACTACTTGAAGTTTAAATATAAGCTATTAACCAAACCTTTTTTGTCCGCTCATTTTGCTTGAAGTTTCTTTATTCCTTTTGCAATTATCATCATCTCTCTTAGGCAATCACCTTAGGCTTACTCTACTGAAGAGCTTTTTCCCCAATTTTCCTCGTGTAACAAGACCCCTGCTGGCCTTTTTTGCTTTTCTAATACTATATGCTAAACATATAAACCTTCTCTGATTAGCATATAGTATTAGAATGTACATTTTCAAAGCTATTAATTAGAGAACTTCATAAAAAGTTTTGTCCAAACCTCAAGGAATATAATATACCCTTCCTACCTTCCAAGCCTCATATCACACCCATATATAAATTTCTTTTAAAGTATATAATATATAAAGCTCTTTCTCCTTCCACCATTGTCCCCTTATTTTTTTTCTTAATCTCCAAATTATGGGAACCTTCAAGAAAATTGGTGAAGGAGCTCTCCAATTTATGGGCCATGCCATCTCGAAAATTGGTCAAAGTTTTCAGGGTGTGTATAAGCCGCTTTTCCAATATTAGTCATATATTTTCAAGAACTTCTCTATTGTTTCTCATGTTACGTAGAGTGATCATAAGGGAATTTTTCTGAGTTATTGTTGTTTAACCGTCTGAGTACATTGAGCCGGGCTAATCTGGATACCCACTGGGTAGGCCTATTAAGGGGGTAAAACCCTCCCTACCAAGAAATTTTTCATTCTTAAAATTCAACTCGAGATTTTTACAACTGAAACTACCATATTGCATCTTTATCCTTTCTAATGCTTTTGTCATTTATTTTGCAGGAAGAGATGAGAAGATTGACGATGAAATTGTAGAAATATGTTACGACAAGTATTTTAGATGGACGTCTGCTGATTTTTACCATGCAATTTGCCAAACGGTCGAGTAAAATAGTTATTCATATTACTAAAATTTAATATTATGTGATGTAACTGAATGGAAAGGAATTCATTTAATTTCTTCTTTAAAAAAGATTAAACAAATTTATCTTTGAGAAAAGGATTTTTAAATATAAAGAAAAAGTAGCTAAGATATGATCTATATTATATTGTTTGCAACTTGTTTATATATTCTTGTTTAATTTTACTAAATTTTATGATCTTTATGTTTACAAAAAATTTAACCATGCCTGATTTCATTACTGCAAATTAATCACATCGAGAAGAAAATTTAGTTTATTTTCTTAATCTTTTATTTTTGTTTTCTGTAGAGAAATTAATAGAAGGCAAGGGAGTACGCAAATTAAGATTCCAAGCACTACAACTCTATTGCAAGTATACGAAGTAAGTTTCTCACTGTCTAGAAATTTCATATCATATTTAATTCAAATTCATAATATATTTTTTTTTGGGAGTGGGGTGGGGAAGTGTTTCGTGATGGGTGATTTGTTATAATGAATAAAGTTGTATGATTTACTGTTAAAATGAGTAATATTTTATAAAAATTAAAGTTACTTTAATGTAACAAAAAATAGTCACCCCATCTTGTCGTTAAATAATTAGAACAATTTTGGTGAATTTTTATTTTTCAGAAGTATCACAAAGGGAAAGGAACAAAATTGACAAAGGATGAGTTTCGAAAAATTGTTCGTGAACTAATACATGAAGCAGGAGTAACTGGATATGGAGCCAAAGATACATTGTTTTATCTATTTGGAATTCCTGTGACAGCATTATTCATCAAGCAAAGAATAAAGCCACAAGCAATTTCTGATGAGATTTTCATTCCTGCTGTTACTTCTGCTACTGTACTTGTTCTTGCCAAATTCAATAAGGTCTAATAATTCAAAACAATTTCTTCAGTTTTACCGATTCGAATATGTTTCGCTAAACTTCAGTCTCAAACAAGTTGAAGAACTGACCTGAATGTGTAGGTACAATTAATTGCAATTATATGACACTTATATGTTCTTTTTATTCCCAGTGATCTGTTTAAATTTTATGAATCGATACTGTTATACATATTTACGCCTTCAGGTCAAATATATTGCAGTTAGAGATAACTCTCTATAACAAATATTAGTAATATTTAATAACTTGGTGAAAATGATCTAATATGTTATCACCAATTAGACCACAATGATAGTATGAAAAAACTTACCTGATTAGTGTATATAACTTAAATCCGTTATTGTTTTATTTTGTAGTGTTAATTCGTAGGTATATCTTTCCTATAAACTGAAGAGTTTGGGGACTATCTATATATATGCGGTTGTAATTGTAAAAAATGAGTATCTATATAATAACCAGGGATTTGATCAACAAGATTAATTTGGTAAAAGGATTTATCCAAACCAAAAGGCTCTTAGCTTTATGTCACGTCTTTAGTCTTGAACTAAGCGCACGTGCGGCACTTGACAACTTTCTCACAATCTTGTACACCTTGCGCACAATCTTGCTATGTCAAGTCAGCCTAAAATATTACACTCAAGATCGCTAAGGGAATGTTAGATAAGAAAGACCAGAGAAATTTGCCAAATGAAGCTTGTTATTATAGAGAACTTGATTGTTTTGCTTGGTGAGTTACAAATGAATAGCCCCCTTTATATACTAGTCTCCTAGGGCTAGTGAGTAAATAATTATTTTACACAAGGCCCTTAATATTTACAAGTAAGTCCCTTCTCTAGAATATTCTACGTAGCTAGAATCTTCTAAAGACTTTCCTATCAATTCCATAGGGTTCTAAGGTCTTCCATGAGAAATCTATGTATTTCTCTAGAACCTTCCCACATGTGCTAGTCTATTTCTTATGTAAGCTTTTCATATGTCAACAATATATGCCAAATGACACCTACATGGCATGATGATGTGTCGGGTCATGACACTCTTCCCCAGCCAATTATGTGCCACCTTCGGCACAAAGCATCGACACGTACACGCGCACCTCGCTTTGGCGCGCCAGAAATCTTTGTCCATTAGCCATGATGCCCTATGAAGCGGTTCGTCTTCCCATGTCACAAGATATGGGACACATTTCTTCTTGCCCGTTTGTACTCTGAACAACTAGCAATGATGGCCTCAATCCTCCGCTCATCGGATGCCTCTCATTTCTCTTGGCCTGAATCTCCCCATGACTCGACCAAATCTAGCAGCTTCTTAAGCATCGGGTCCATGCTTCCACTCCTTATTTGGCAGTCCGCCATGATTCAAGCCTTACTGGCAAACTTGATCCCTCTGCTTGGTGCATCATTTAAGTCCGATAGCGTACCATCACTTTGTAACTCGCCATCCACTTCAACTATGTCCGCCTAACTTTTCTTGCTGCCACCATGCTCCATATACATGGAACCAAGATAGGCTTTGGAATCCCCTACTTTCGGCTTAGATTCCAAGCGCATCCCCCTAATGCAGGCAGTCCCTCCTGCGTCACCCTTGTGTGCCTGAGCAAAAGTTCCCGATCATTGCTGCAAGCTTCCCCAACTCTGGGCATTCACTTGCCCGATATGATCCTTTACAGAAGTAGCACCCTCCCTTAGACACGTACTCGCTACCGTTTTCTGGCCCCTTGCTATTTCTTTTGGACCCCTGTCCGTTATGGGATGGCCCCTTTCCATTGCCCTTGTATACCTCGGCTATGACTTTCCCGTTGTCCTCATCATGATCTCCCCCATCCCTCTCGGCGTTGCCTTCTTTGGACTTGGCAGGCTCCATCTTGAATTCAACGAGCGACTCGGCTACCGTTATGGCCTCTTCCACGCTGGCTACTTGATGTCTTCTTAACTCCTGCTTTATCCAATTTTGCAACCCATCCATCAAGTAGATGAGGGAATCTTCCTCGGACAACGACGATATTTGCAGCATTAAGGTAGTGAACTCACGCACATACTCCCGAATTGTGGCCATCTGTCGGAGCTCCCTTAGCTTCCGCCTAGCCTCATACACCACATTCATCGGGTAGAATTGCTTCTTCATCTCCTTCTTGAACTACTCCCTCGTCTCAATCTTGCATAGCCCCTTCTCCGTGTTGGCATACTTTCGACGCCACCATAACGTGACAACCTCGGTCAAGTACATTGAGGCGTTGTGTACCTTAAGAACTTCGTCATCCTCCAAAGTAAGTCTGCCACCTCGCGTGCGTCCCGTGCACCGTCATACTGCTTTCACTTAGGGACCTTCACATCGGTCCCTTTTGCAAGTACCACGCCCTCGGTAATTCCGACCATGGTTCCCTACAAAGCTTCCTTCTAGCAATCTCTTGTATTCTTTCCAACATTCCTTCAGTCATAACCTTGCTCTGATACCACGTTGTCACGTCCTTAGACTTGAACTAAGTGCACGTGCGGCACTTGACAACTTCTTCACGATCTTGCACACCTTGCGCACGATCTTGCTATGCCAAGTCAGCCTAAATATTACATTCAAGATCACTAAGGGAATGTTAGATAAGAAAGACAAGAGAAATTTGTCAAATGAAGCTTGTTATTATAGAGAACTTGATTGTTTTGCTTGGTGAGTTACAAATGAATAGCCCCATTTATATACTAGTGTCCTAGGGACTAGAGAGTAAATAATAATTATTACACAAGGCCCTTAATATTTACAAGTAAGTCCCTTCTCTAGAATATTCTACATAGCTAGAATATTCTAAAGAGTTTCCTAGCAATTCCATAGGGTTCTAAGGTCTCCCATGAAAAATCTCCGTATTTCTCTAGAACCTTCTCACATGTGCTAGTCTATTTCATATGTAAGCTTTCAATATGTCAACAATATATACCAAGTGGCACCTACGTGGCATGATGATGTGGCGGGTCATGACATATATCTCTGATTTTTTTTTTTGCTTTAAGCTCAAGCCCTTAAAATAATTTCAAAGGCGAGATTCCATTCTTTTGAAAATCAATTGTAAATTACATTAATGAAGTAAAAAAAAAAAAAGAAATTACGTTGTTAGTATATAATTATGTCAAAGTATCACATTTGGTGAATGCGTAAGCTGTCACTCACAGAAAGTTATTTTTTAGAGAAAAAAGTAAAGAATCTGATTAGTATCCTTAATTGGTGAATCTACACACACTTTTGAACATTTTCAAAAGCTGCCACTTTTGAAAACCGGTGAGTTTCACCGCCGAGGGTTATGGTGGGATAAATATAATTCTTCCACCTTCAATTAGAAGTTTTAGTTTCGAGCTATAAGAATGGTAGAGAGCGCTTTCTACTTTAATGAGCCTTATGCGATGCGAATCTAGATTAATCAGGACTTCAATACAAATACTGAACATCGAAACCATAAAAAAGAATTTTTAATAACACATTCATTAGGTAGTTTCAAGAGAAGTTTATGATCTCCGAATATGGGAAATTAGATTAACTCTAAACTCGGTCATCCCTCCAAATGTCATAAAGCCTCAATTTTCATAGCTGTTTTAACGGTTATTGTAGCTGAACAAGTCTTCCTTTGAATCATCCAAACCACAACCAGATAAAAATTGGAAAAACAACTTTCTCGACCCAAAATCTATACAAAAAAAATTCTACTAATAGGTATCGCTGTTCAACTTATTCTTAATGATATTAACTTTTTCAATAAATTTTAAAATGGTCCATCCACTAGTTGATTGGCTTCTTCCAATTAATAACATAGGTATATAACTATTTTCTAATTAATTAGACTTACGAGGCCCCATTTGACCTGCACTATCACATGTTTAAGTCCTCATTTTCCCAATAATGATAGACAAGTTAATTTGTAGATACCCCTTAAAGTTAAAACAACCCAAAAAAGACAAGGAAAAAAGAAAAAGGAAGACAAAAAAAATACAACTTTTTTGTTTGGAAAATGTGGTCAAAATAAGGACAAAGAATGTGAACGTACTTGATTTCTTTTCTTGTCTCCTTCATTACATCACAAAGTAGGGACAGAGAAAGAAAGGGAGAGAAAGCGAGCAAATAGAGAGAAAGACAGAGAGAAAAAAAAAAGGAGCAATTTTCTATCTTTGCATGTCCATGCATGGTTGAAACAATACATTTTGTCAATGAAAACAGATCAAATCCATCAACTTTTTTGCTACTTATTTCTGATTAACACAAAAAATAATTTAATAATATGCTAAAATCCATGTCAAGATCGAGAAGAAATTAAAAGGACAATAACATGAAGGCGTGGGAGGCAACTATAAGGATAACACAGGCTGCAACAAGAAGACGTGCCAACACGATTTTCGGTACACAAGGATCATCACAGGTAGAAGAAGAAAATGATCAAGAGCAACAAGAAGATATTGAAGAGCACGCGAGCGGAGAAATTTTCCATGCAGAGAGATTTCTCCCCAATGGAGATTACTATAGTGGCTATTGGCTTGATAATTTCCCTCATGGACAGGGGAAATATTGGTGGACGGACGGATGTATGTACGTTGGAGATTGGTTTAGAGGGAAAACGATGGGGAAGGGGATGTTTAGTTGGCCCTCGGGGGCAATGTACGAGGGGAATTTCAAGAGCGGATTTATGGATGGAGAGGGGACTTACACGGGGCCTACTGGCGATACGTATAGAGGTTCTTGGGTAATGAATTTGAAACATGGACATGGCGTTAAGGAATACGCGAACGGAGATTGTTATGATGGGGAATGGTGCAGGGGATTACAAGAAGGAAATGGGAGGTATACATGGAAGAATGGGAATTATTATGTTGGTGAATGGAAGAATGGGACAGTTTGTGGTAAAGGCAAAATGTATTGGCCTAATGGGAATGTTTATGAAGGGAATTGGGAAGATGGATTTCCTAAAGGAAATGGAACATTTAGATGGAATGATGGGAGTTTTTATGTGGGAAATTGGAGTAAAGATCCAAATGAACAAAATGGTACATTTTATCCATCTGGATCATTGTTAGAAGGTGGCAATCTTGAATGGGATCCTCAACAAGTTTTCAATGTTGATTTAACAGAATGTACTATTTGTCCGCCTGAGAAAGTTCCGATATTGCCTTCACAGAAAAAACTCGCGCTATGGAGATCATCTAAGGCGGTGGACAACAACGTTAGACCTAGGAGAATGTCCTTGGATGGGAGAATAGATGCACCTGCTGTAGATAGGGAATTTGGGAGAATACGTCTATCGGATGCTGCTGGAAATTCTGCTAGTACTTCTTATAATTCGGACGATTCCATGGTTGGCTTGCAGGAAACTGATGGATATTTATTAAGAGGAAGCCCTATTAGGATTCCTAAGTTTGTAAAGAGGCAAGGTCAGACCATTTCCAAAGGACATAAGAATTATGAGCTTATGCTCAATTTGCAGTTGGGAATCAGGTAGCTATTTTAACTTGTGTTTTTTTCTAACTTTCATGTATATTTCAAGAATTTATTTGCAAATTGAGATACTATATGTCTACATCATCTTGCTTGATGATTAGAACTATGCAAGTTACCTTGTGTGATTTTTACTTGTGATGTAAATTTATGGCATAGGCATTCAGTAGGAAGGCCTGGTCCTCCTCCATCACTAGATCTCAAGCCATCAGCATTTGATCCTAGAGAGAAGTATTGGACAAGGTTTCCACCTGAAGGATCGAAGATCACGCCACCTCATCCGTCTTGTGAATTCAGATGGAAAGATTATTGTCCAAAAGTTTTCAGGTAAGGCCTAATTATACAAGATTGGAGTATTTAAGTGTGCAAATTTAAACACTTTTGAAGCTAGTCATTTATCGATATGTTTGTCAGGGCTTTACGGATGTTATTCAAAGTGGATGCAGCTGATTATATGATATCAATTTGTGGTAATGATGCCCTCCGGGAGCTTTGTTCCCCTGGAAAAAGTGGAAGTTTTTTCTACTTGACAAACGATGATCGATACATGATCAAGACAATGAAGAAAGCAGAAACAAAAGTAAGTCTTAAATAAAACAGCACTGCTTTTTTTTTTCCCTGCAAAAGATCACTGTCCCTTCTCATCATTTTTCATGCCAATGGATTTGTTAGGTGCTTCTAAGGATGTTAAGTGCCTATTTCAATCATGTTCGCGCGTTTGAGAACACCCTTGTGACTAAGTACTATGGCCTGCATTGTGTGAAGCTAAGTGGACCAGCACAGAAGAAGGTATTCAACATAAAGTAAAGTCAAACAATCTGTTCAATTCTAATGCTCTCATCAATGGTTTAGGTACGGTTTGTTATCATGGGGAATCTTTTTTGCACAAATTACTCAATTCATAGACGATTCGACTTGAAAGGATCAACATTTGGCCGAATGACTGATAAGCCAGAATCAGAGATTGATGCAACCACAACCCTTAAAGACCTTGATCTGAACTTCATCTTCAGGTTACAAAAGACATGGTTTCAGGAATTCCGAAGGTAAAATTTTTTGCTTTGGCTTCTTTTGTCCTTCACACACGACGACATTTGAAACTTTCAACATCTCATTCAAGCATAAAATACATGTCAGGAAAAGATTTCGCAACATTGGTGTGACTTAATATGACATTCATAGAAATGTCGTCGTGTATGAAAAGTGAAAATTATCTATTTTGCAGGCAAGTTGACAGGGATTGTGAGTTCTTGGAACAAGAGGGAGTGATGGACTACAGCCTTTTAGTTGGAATTCATTTTAGAGAAGCAGATAGTGGTGAAGACCAGACACCTTCTGGTTGTAGAACACCAATTGGTTGGTGCTAATTTTATATAACACTTGAATGTTTACCTTTTAAAGCTAAGTGAATTCTGTGATAACTTCATTCTAGCTTGTCATAGAACATCATTCATTTGGAAAATTCGTTTATTTGTAACTTTCCTTATAATTCAGGCTTAACCAGTTTAAAGTAAGCATGACTATCTTTTGTTGCAGATAATGGAGGCTCGGAAAATGAAGCAGTTCCTCGTCTTTCTCGAGCAGATATGGATCAGTTGCTTCTTGATCAGGCAGGGTAAGTCAGAAACTTTGGTCAAAATCAGCTGTCATGAATTAAGATTCTTGATTGTATGATGAAAATTGCAGGTGGGCAAGCATAAAATTAGGAATAAACATGCCAGCAAGAGTTGAAAGGACAGAGAGGAAAATGAGTGAAGGAGAGATTCAGCTAATAGGAGAAGCAACAGGAGAATTGTATGATGTGATACTGTTTTTTGGTATCATAGACATACTTCAAGACTATGACATTACAAAGAAGCTTGAACATGCATACAAGTCTATGCAATGTGATCCCAACTCCATCTCTGCAGTCGATCCAAAGGCGTACTCAAGGCGTTTTCGTGATTACATTTTCAAAGTTTTCATAGAAGACAACTAATTAACATACATATATGCTTCCCTTTCTCTGAGAGGGCTTCAAACTGCAAGCTAGCTTAATTAGGACTCTCAGTACACCATTTGTTTATCTGCAGTTGAAACTCCTTCACTGCATTTTCTCATCTTAAAACTATTCTTATGATCATAGGTATATATATACACACACAATTCAGGATGAGTACTGTTGTATAGAAAAAGTTGTAACAGAAGCAACATAAATGTGATTGATATGAAAATTGTTGTTTTAAGGTATTTGCAGGGAACAATGGATTCTAAGCTAGAATTTATTTGAATTTAACAAAATTTCCATTTACTAATTGATTTAAGCTCCTTAATTCTTCAGGAGCTTAGTATGGTTCACGAACAAATTTTGCTGGTATTGTTGTTAACCCCAAAAATGAGTAACAATTAAATTTGTATGCGGCTTAACCGATATGTGATTTAATTCAATACGAATGGTTAAGAACAACAGGTAAATAAGTTAAAGACAAAATAAATGATCAAACCAATCGCAATGTGATAACCAAGCCTAATCTTAGGTTGAACAGTGGAATTCGTCCTCAATTGGACCTTCGGTACGAGCTTGGTCGTGAATAAAGAAGAGAACGAATGAAGAACACTTTGAGCAATAGCTAGAAGACAAAAGTAAACATTTTATTGCTTTGATTTTGCGTGTCATGGTGTGTCAGGATGAAAGAAAATTTTCCCTTTCAGTCATAGTACAAGTCTAAATAAGGTAAAAATCTTCTGTTTTTGCTAAATGTCGATATGCAGTTGATACCGGGCAGGATTCACACCGTAATATCCGGTTGAGGGTGAACATTACGGCCCTCTATTTGTCATGTATAACCATTTTTCGCGTTTTCGGAGGTCCAGAGGCTATACTTGGTCTGGTCCGTTACTTCACCGTGCCCGATCTTAGATACATCGTTCATTCTTCCTGGGTTTCGATACGAGTTATTCTTGGGCCTCGACTATAGTCATGTCAAGCCGTGCTTCCCCTTTGTTTCCTCATTGGGCAATCGGGGAAAGCTCTACCCTCAATTTTACCTGTATACAGATAGTCCCCTCATTTCTCAGAGAGTAGATTTATCGAAGCGACGGGAAGTAATAAATTAATCCCGGTTCCTTCTTCCGTACGCTACAACCGAGTTGATGGGTCAGTGAAACATCCCATCAGTCACGTTGTTCTGACTTCGGACCCGTGTCAATTTCCGATTGACTATCCCCGAATACGAAATGTCATGCATTGATTACCCCTTCTCTATTAAAGCTTCGATCCTTTTTCCACTTTTTTACTTTCCGATTCCAGAGTTCCTTAATTTACCCTCGAACTCTTCACTTATTCCTAACCCCTTCAAACCTTCATACATTGTTTTCTTGATCTTCATATTCTCGTCTTCAAATCTTCATACTCCTTCTTCAAATCTTCAAGTCTGGCCTTCATATCTTCATCCTTATCTTCAAATCTTCATCCTCACCTTCAAATCTTCATATTTTCCAGAGCTCGATGACGAAAATTTCCAAATCCGTGCCTCAATAGACTATCCCTTCAACTTCCAACCCGGCCACAGATGCCGAGGTGGCCGTTCTTGAGGCAACCCCGGAACCTCCTTTGAAGAGCTTAATCCCCGAGGGCTGCTCAATTGAAAATGACTTCAAAGTCGAGAAAGCCTCTACTCAATAACGAATGCCGAGGTGGCCGCTCCTGAGGCGACCCCGGAACATCCTTTGAAGAGCTTAATCCCCGGGGGCTGCTCCATTGAAAATGACTTCAAAGTCGAGAAAGCCTCCAGTGAATAGGACCAGGCAAAAGGTTATAGAGGTACATCTGATCCGTTACCGAGGATACACTCTCTACAGTTCGGGAGGACTGCAACTAGGAGGGCAAGGAAGTGGTCGTCCCCGGGCCTAATGAGGACATTACCACTCACATGGAGGGGTATTTAAGTATTTACACTTACCTCTTCACGCTTGCCCCGGTGGACCCTATAATCCTTGGCTTTTGCAAAAGGTTCGAGGCCTGCCTTGGGCAGATTCACCCGCCTTTTGGAGGATCGTAATCTTCCTTCGCCACTTCATCAACAACATTGAAGAACCTCGATTTACCCTTGACCACTTGCTTCATCTCTACTCCGAATTTTTCGAGGGGGTTGATCAAACTTTTGCGTCGAGCAAGCAAAGCTCCGTTCTCGAGCATCGATGAAGATCGGGATTGAGGTTGGCAGGGGAGATTCTTTCGGGTGAAGACCGAGGATCTCATTCCCCCCGAAATTTTATCGTTCCTTGAAAAATGGAACTCAACTCGTAAGTTTCTTTCCTTCCTGAGTACTTGCTACTTCTTTTGTTCTTTTTCTAATTGCATGTTCCTATCATTGTGAGCAGTCTCCCAAGTCCCCAATGCAATCCCCTGCTTCAAGGAATAGATTGAGGGGATCTGCAAACAAATGTCATATTTTGAGCGCGAATGGCGCAAGCTTTCAAAGGGCAAGTGGGAGGCCCGTTCCCATGGTGAATGCTCTTCCCGAACAAGTTTACTTTCATACTCAACTTTTATTTCTACTAAATCTTTTCTCTTTTACAGGTTTGCCCAAGACCACTGATCTTCGTCCATTGGATGAGGATGAGGATGAGGATCTGTCCTCACTTGCTGAACCCTCCGCTTCGGGATAACCTGGAGTTGCTGCATGGGAGGAGAAAAAGAAGAAATCCTCTATCTCGCCGGACGCCGAGGTCAAGAAGAAGAGGGTAATTGTCCGAGTCCGAAAAAGCAACAAGAAGAGCACCCAAGCCAAGGTACAAGACCCCGATTTCCTCTTCCGGCTCAGGGATTACCATGAAAACGATGAACTAGAGTTTCGCTCGTGGGTCGACAATTGACGAAGAAGAACAGGTGGTAACCGAGGAAGGTAGTCGAGAGGCTGATCTTTCTTTAGCTCGGGATCCAGAAGGAAAATCATAGGCTACGGCCTCTTGAGAAACTATCCCCTCCCCGAAGGAAATAGCCGGTGTCATCGACATCGTGGAGTCACCGTCTCACATAGAGTCTATGTTCGACAAGGCTCAGGCTGACAAAGAGAAATCAAATGAGATGGCACGGGGCACAGACAATGCCCTCAACATGTGTTTCGATAGTGTGGACATGGGTGCATTAGAGGATTATTCCAGGCTTGGTCACCTAGAGATTCCAAAAAAGGATGTATCGTCGAGAGCAGGCAAGCCAAGATCGAGCCCGAAGCTGGTGAGGTAGTTTCCCGCTCCAAGTGTGGACCCCGACCGTAAATGAACGGTCATCATACTATCCCGGCGGACACCCAGGTGATGTCCTTTCCGGTGGGTGTGGCCAGCTATCTTCGCTTCCTAGTGATCGAAGAGGACTAGACGAAGATAAATGAAGTAGGCCCATCGAGCCTTTTCAAAGAGGCACAACAGGCACTGAACCAGGTAAGTTTCCTATTCCTTGTGCCCTTTGCAAGTCTTGCTTAGATTTAGCACACTCTAACAATCTTATCTTTTTGTTTTTTAGGCTTCAGTGCTCCACCATGGAATCTTCCTTCGGTCTCGAATGGAAGTCAGCGAGCTTGAGTTTGAGCTCAAAGAGCAAGTTCGCTAGAAGGACATGTATAGGGTCCTTAGTGAGCAAAAGGATGAGGCCTTCAAGGACCTCCCTATTGTTCGAGTCGGGCTAGAGAAAGCTCAAAAGGATGCTCTGTCCGTGAAATAGGAGCATGCCGGCCTGTTCAAGAAGGAAAGGATTTTTTGAGGTTAAAAATGAGAGGTTATGCGTAGTGACTAACAATTCAACCTCGAAGGTCCAAGAGAAGATAGACCTGATTGACCAGCTCCGGGTTGAGATGAACCAGGTCAAAGCTACGGCCGAGGCGCTGAGGAGCAGGATGGATCTGCTGGCCTCGAAAAATGAGGCTGAAAAAGAGGATCTAGCATCGATCAAAGACCATTCTCCGGGTGGCAAAGGATAAGGCCGACAAATGGTCCCGGCTGATTGATGAACTTTGGGCACAACTGAATTCAACCGTCTTAGAACGGGACGAACTCGGTCGAGAATATACAGTACTGAAGGCCAAATTAGAGGCAACCTCGATTGATTCCTCTGAGGTCGAAGAAATGTTGGCCCAATATAAGACTAATGTAGAGATAATCGAGGCATGTTTAATACCGAAGGCCGAGTATGCAAAGAGGCTATCCCGGAGGGAGACTCTTGAGGAGATTCATGCCCGGGGATTCGATTCGTCGGTCGAGATCGAAGAGGGCAAAAGGCTCGAGGCCAAGGCAAAAAGAACTTTATGAGCCAGAAGGTCCTGAAGGTTCCGGTGCCGAGTCGAGCTCTAGTGAAGATTAGGCGGAGATGCCTTAGCTCCTTTTTTGTTTCCTTTTTGTACATTCTTTTTTTTTTTTGTTTATTTTGAGGTCGTTTTATCGTGCCTTTGTAAATATATTTTGAAATATATATATATAAAATTTCCTTCGGCAACTCTGTGTCCTTTACTTTTCAGCATCTATTTGCAATTTTTTATTTGTGGATCGTCCTTAATGCCTTAGCATAGAATTAGACGTAATTTGGTGTATCCATTCTCTAGATGCCCGAATGATGCCCGGTTTCGATAGTAACTCCGAATTTTTCGTGGCTTAGAAATTTTGATTAGAAACGAAGGCCTTTAAGACACTCAAGTGTTTTAGTCATATACGATGGTATTTTGCCGAGGGTAACACTTTAATAGGTTTTAATCGTACGTAAGGGTCTTACTTTTTGAGTACGTACTAGGACGTCTCCGAGCAATTTTAGGTCATAGCCTTTCATGTTCGGGCCCTGCCTAATAGGTTCGGTGCCTCCGAGTTTCGATAGCCTGGGCCATCTGATATTTTATTGGTCGGCAGTCTCGAGTCGGGTTTCCCGTAGGCTCTAGGATTCATGATCTGTTTTTCGTTCTAAGTAATTCGATGGATGCATCGATGGTGCAAAATGCGTAGTGATAAAGTATAAAGAAAGCAAAGATCTCTTTCATTGTTTTGTATGTAGATTACATAATCGAAGGTGCATACGCCTTGTGCCATGGATAGAGTTGGCTACATGGGTATGGTTCGTTTGACTATTTGACCCTTACTACGAATCCTAACTACCAAGCCTTTGGCTTTCAGTATTAAGTAATAGCACCTTCTAAAGATCCCAGCCTGGGGGGTAATGGCCCCTAGCATTTGAGGTCGAACTCTTGAGGGCTCGAATACTGTTGGTT